AAGTGATGTACACTAAGATCTTTCAAACTGGCTGGTATATCATCATAAATTGTGATACCTTTACAATAAATTGAGTTCTTGCCCATATTACTGCGTATCTTTATTTTTTCCAAGTGATTGTTTGTTCTTGTGTCGTAACTATGAATGTAATTTCTGGTAATAAATGTTATTGATGAGTGTTTGTCCTTCTTTATCACTGCATGAATAAAATTACACACTTGAATTTTAATGATTTCCAAATTTTTGATGTTGAATTTTTTATACAAAAGGTTAGTTGAGAATCTACTAGGCAAGCAATACAGGTTTTTATTGCCATGTTATGTAAAATCATAAGTGGCCTGATGAACTTCCTCCTTGTGGGAAACCATATAACCGCCAGGTATTGGAGGTGGCAGTGAATAAGTGAGAAATACAATGGTCTTAAAAACCTTTTTGGTACTTCTCAATACTCCAATAGGAGCCCGAATTTTTTTTCTAATATATTTAGTGTGGTATTCCCAAGACAAAGTTTCATCCATCCATAGCCCTAGGTACTTAATTTGTTTAGAATAGCAAAGTTCGCCACCGCTAACCAGCAGGGAATTTGAATAATGGATTTTTCGCAGGGAGAGGAACATATAGTTGGATTTTTCAATGTTTAAGGTTAATTTATGTGCATCAAGCCGCTATATGATAATGTTCAAGTCACAAGTCATTCTTTGTTGCAAAATCTCCAAAGAATCATCAAAATAAATCAACATAGTGTCATCTGCATACAGTTTAAGAGCGCTAGACAGATTGAGCTTGAAGATTGAATTTATGTATATCAAAAAGAGGGTAGGCCCCAAAATGGAGCCCTGCGGAACGCCACATTTAATACTTTTTTCTGAGCTTTTGTTACCTTCCAAAAACACAAACTGTCCCCGCTCTGACAGGTAACTAGAAAGCCAACCATAAGTCTTCCACGATATTCCAAGTGTTCGCAGCTTAAGAAGTATCTCATGGTTAACTGTGTCAATCGCCTTCCGAAAGTCAAGCGCCACTACGGCTCCCTTGTTTTTATTATTCAAATTTTTTGTATATCGCTTACTAAATCCACTGTTGCCGAAGCGGTGTCACTGGACTCCCGGAAGCCATATTGACACAAGTACAGAAAATTTATATCATGCAACAACCTTACAAGCTGAGAGTTTACAATCCTCTCCATAATTTTTGACAATACGGGTATTTAGCACACTTATAGGTCTATAATTGTTTGGATTCTCTTTATCACTTGATTTGAAGAGCGACGAAACTTTAGCCACTTTCATTGATTTAGGCACAATACCACTAGTAAAGGACTGATTAAACAACTTACTCAGAAAACTACTCAACTCAAATCTGCACTGTTTAACAGTCTATGTCATCGAAACCTGATGCCTTGTTTGGGTCCAGACCATTAATAACACTCAAAACCTCTGAGAAGTTGGCCTCCATCAACGACCATTCACCTTGTCGTGATTCCTCTTTGTTAAGATCCATTGCTGAAGGTTTGATTTTTGATGCCAAAGATGCTGCCACGCTGATAAAGTAATCATTCATGCTCTCGCAATTGTCAGCAGCGTTGACATAACTTTGATTTCCAACTTTCAGTGATGTCATGTTTCTATTAGAACTCGTATTTTTATTGGAGATAATTTGGTTTATCCTTTTCCACTCTTTTTTAGAATTTCCTCACATGTCGATTTTTGATTTGAGGGAGAACTATTCCTATCACCGTAGCTTTAACCTCCTACTAGCTGAGGGGGGGGGGGGGGGGAGAACAACCCCCCAAATTTGAATAGGGGATAGGGGTCGTGTCATACCTCTTTGAAAAGGTTCCATCGAGTTCTTTATGAAACAAGAATTTCGCCTTATTATTTCCATCTGTAACGAAATGACAGCTTGTCAAAATCTTGGGAATAAACTATTGTTTTAGTAGGAGTAAAAGCGATTCTTACCTCCCTTAATAAAAATACTTGAAATTGAAATTTTTCATTATTATTATTAATTAGGTGTACACCTGAATTTAAAGTTGTAAGTATTTCTATTAAGGGAGGTGAGTACCGCTTTTACTCCTACTAAAACATATAATACAAGTTCAAAATTTGTTTAAGCAGTGTTCCAAACACTGGTCTCAAGAAAAAAAAAACTGATAAATTTTAAATCAACTATGGGCGGTAGACATTATATAAATCTATACATAAAAAAAACCAATAACAAAAACTTAACAGGAGGCTCTATCACATTAACAAAGCCCCAACCCTCCAACAAGCAGGTATAGGTAACCAAATCATCAGACAGTATCATTTATATAACTTTTCAATACCCTATTGAAACTATTTAAACTATCAGAATATTTTATATTATTTGGTAGGTTGTTATATATCCTAGATGTGGATCCGAGTGGACAATTTAAGCCTATTTATTCTACTATATGAAATATACAAATTGTTAACTGACCTGGTGCCATAATTATGAATTTCATTTGAAAACATTATATTGGAGTTACACTTTTGTAGATTATTAACAATTTTGTACATCAATTTACATTGCTCCAGTATCAGTACCCGGATTCAACCTATACACTCCTATCTGGCTATATACTAAATCTGTATGTGTTAATAAATCAAAATTGAAGAGGATTTTTGAAATTTTGTTCTGTAGTACTTTTATTGAGTTAAAATTACCTTCTGTACATGTTCCCCAAATAGGTGAAAGGTACCTTAGATGGGCCAAAAAATATGAATTGTAAACATTTAATTTAGTTTTGTTTGTGAGATAGTTTCTACACTTATAAAGAATTGGAACCATTACATTGATTTTATTAGTTAAATGCTCAGTATGCTTTTGCCAATTCAGCAATTCATCTATTTGGAGACCTAAGTACTTAATTGATGAGACATTTTCTAAAGTTGGACTCGATATTCCCAATCACTTTATTATTCTGTTTAAAAACGATATATTTGGTTTTGTCAATATCAACTGCTAAATTATTTCTGTACAAAAATTTAAAATACCTATCCAAGTCCCTATGTACTTTGATTTCCAGCCCTGATGACTGGCCGAAAATATACCAAAGCTGTGTCGTCTGCAAAAGTGAAGTATCTGACCTCTAGGTGTGCAATCTTCAGACTAAGAATGTATAAGGGTCCCAAAACCAAATCCCTGCGGAACTCCACAGTTGTTAGCCAAAACATCACTATTAGATTCTTCCAGCCCAACAAATTGTTGCCTACCCTCCAGATACGTTCTCATAAAACTCAAAAAAATTCCCTGAAATCCAAATTTATAAAGTTTATCCAAAAGAATATCAAATGGCACTACGTCAAAGGCCTTCTTTAAATCTATAAACACCGACACAACAATGTTTTTCTCATCCAACCCTTTAGCAACATAATTTACAAAGTCAAATGTAGCTGCCAGAGTATTACTATTTCTAATGAGCCCAGAGCCCATACTGGAACGGATCGACATTAAGATTATCATTAATAAACAAAATCATTCTCCTTTTAACAATATTTTCAATAATTTTAGAAAATACAATAGTTTATTCCCAAGATTTTGACAAGCTGTCATTTCGTTTCGGATAAAAATATTGAAACGAAACTTTAGGGTCATAAAGAACTCAATGAGACCTTTAGAAAGAGTTATGACACGACCCCTACCCCCTATTAAAATTTGGGGGGTTGTTTTTCTCCTAGCTAGGGGGTTGAAGCTACGGGGATGAAAAAACTGAAAAATATTTCCCCCTGAAATCAAAAATCGGCGAGTCCGAGCGTTTTTCCAGATTTTCATTTTAAATCGAAAAAATCGGGGCGTCTGTTTTCCCTGGGACACCCTATTTACAGGGTGTCCCAGGGAAAACAGTCCACCCATTATTATCAATAATTTGGAGTACATGTGAATTGTAAACTGTAAGAATTTTTATTAAGGGAGGTAAGTACCGCTTTTACCCCTACTAAAACTATTTCTATGTCCAAGATTTTGACAAACTGTCATTTCGTTATGAATGAAAATAATGAGACGAAATTCTAGGGATAAAGAACTCGATAAGACCTTTAAAAAGAGGTATGGCACGGCCCCTATCCCCTATTCAAATTTGGGGGGTTGTTCTCCCCCTGGCTAGGCTGAAAAATGTTTCCCCCTCAAATCAAAAATCGACATGTTCGAGCGTTTTTCCAGATTCTCATCGCAAATCCAATAAATCAGGGTGGACTGTTTTCCCTGGGACACCCTGTATATCTATAAGATGAACCTGTGTTTATAGTCTTGCAAATCTTTCGGTACATGTTCGAATATCTTTTCAACTTTATCCTTGTTTCAATGGTTCTAAGATATTTGAGATCAATTTTGATGGATTTTTTTGTTTAGTTTGTAACAGACTGTCTTTGTTCTGGCTTGAACATTATGGTGATGGTTGATAGTCTTTTTATGATCATTTTCATCATATCTCCCAGGTTCCAGGTTGTCTGATTTTGAGATCAAGATGGTGAAAACCCTTTTTCTTTGGGTAGGGATTTCTGGAACTCGGGAAGATCCTCTTCAGATCAGTCTGCTTCTCGAGAGAAGCAAAAACTTCCCGTTAACCTAATGAAAATTGTAAAAAATATATTTCCGGTTTTACACCTAATTACAAAAAACGCACACATCTCACGTAGCATTGTGTCAAAATTATAAACAAACTATTGTTTCATCATAAGCCTGTTTTATAAATTATTATTCTTGTGATAACAGCATATTGCCAACATGACTGAAATACTAGGTACGTGATATTTCAGTCTATGAGTCCAAGAATCAGTTGTGCTAGTTTATCTTGCACCTGCACGAAATAATAAATATTTATTGTGGTCAATCACTGATAGCACCATATAAATGATTCAGATCATTACATGAATTAATACCCAAGAAAAATAACAATTATAGTGACTCAAAATCCTGACGCATATATTCGCGCTCGAACTGAAAAATCCATTTGTCCCCACCTTGCGAGATCGTTAATTTTTAGGATTAATAAAAGTAACAAGCTGAAATTTTATAGCTGTTCGTTAACTACTGCACCTACCTTCGCCCATTCGATCAAGCGTCCTTGTCCGAGTAGTACTCTGGTGTGCTAGTGCGTAGTTTCTTTCCTGAAGAGTTGTTATAGTAGTGGTACCAGAAAGAGGTCATCCGACTATCAAAGCGAAAGTGGACTTTAAAATTTAAAAAAAATAGTTGTTTAAAAAAAGTTTTGTTGAAAAAAGTGCCAAAATGGGGGTCGGACTTCAAATGATGAAAACTGTGCTTTTTATATTTAATATATTTTTAACGGTAAGTAAATTTAAACTGTTTTCAAAGAAAAATTTAATGAACATTTGAACACTGGTACTTAAAAACTACTTTTTCATCAAGTTTCGTCTTTTACTGATTTTTTAAAATAAATTGCTTGCTATAGCGTGTATCCTATATATCCTAGATAATAAAGAATTTAGAAAGACAAGCACACCTTTTTGGAAAACTGTTTTAGCAGTCATGAAATTCTAGTTTTTCTTTTTATAAGACATATTTGCTACTTTTGTTCAATTTTTTTTTCTTATATTTTTAGAAATGTTATGATATTTTTTAATTGGATCAATTACAATTATTTTTATTTTGTAAAAACCTTGATAAAACCTAAATCCAACTTTTCAGTAGTTTAGCCACAATATACATTTTTTTTCATATTTTTCTCATTATGTGACTCATTTACATACACCCACACGAATTGATCATTCTGTGATCACTTTTTTCAAGGTAACCGTTCAATACGAGGGTAATTTAGTGAGAAAGATAAATTTAAAAAAAGGCAACGATAAAAATTATTTATTTTATTGCTGTTGTTGATATTTAATATTTAATTGAATATTTTCTTAATGCCTCATCATGGGAGACAAACTCTTTAAAAAAATACATAGGTATTATGGATATAAAATATAAGTAAAATAGGTATTCGAATATCTAACTCCTGAATTTTCAATTCTCACTATAGGAAGGTATATCTGCCAATCATATTCAACTTATTGACGAACATCGAAGTTTTTTATTCTAAAAAAAAAATGAGAATTGGAGAATTGGGTTATTCCTGCCTAATCTATTTAACTACCTAGTAATTTTTTGACCTGACTTATCCATATTCCGATAAACTTCCCGGTAACTGTTTACAGGACATAAAAAACCAGTTATTCGGCCGAGCAATAGATTGCCATTTTTTCGTGTGATTGCCTTACCTGACAGTTTATCAGAAGGTAATTAATCCGGGCCTTAATGTTCGAAGCATATTGAAAGAAAACATTCATATAATTACGTAATGAGTTCTACTTGTTTACGTGATCGTTAAAATCAAAAGCTCTTATTTTGATCTCGGTATAAGTAGAACACCGTCACTTGTAGATTTTATGGCCAAGTTATAGCCAACCGGTTATGACGTAACCAATATAAGTACGAAATGCCAACTTGTTTCAGAAATATTCCTAATAAAATTATTATATTGGGTAAATAAACGGATATTTGAGGCAACAACTTCTGTATTTCTCATTTTAAAGGTGGTTTTTGAATGAATATTAATTTAATGTATTTCTAACTTATTTTTTTTCAATTTAAATAAAACTGCAAAATAATGACGGCAATCAAATACAATCAACTGCAATTTATTTTCCTCAATTTAAAAAAAACACAAACCAAGAATAATGCATTTTCCCAAAACCTTTATGGGCGGGTAAACTTAAACAATGAAAACTTAACTTACAGATAATTGGGCTTTGTAATTATTATTAATAACTGAGCAAATGCAAAAAGCATGTATCTTATAGCAAGGTTATCATTTTAATCATCTCCGATTGTATTTTCAATGTCTTCCTCTTCTTGAAATTGCATCAACATCATGGTAACTTAAGCCAGATATTTTAGATTCTAAAACAATGCCAAAAAAATCTTCTAAGATGCAATAATCAACTTGGATTTACAACACTAAAATATTTTCCTCTGCAGAATTTTCAGATTTTGAGACTGATTAAATTTTAATGCCTCCTATCACAGCTCAGTTTCCATCAAATTTTAAAATACTGAATAGAAATTTTAGGAATCCTTTGCTGATTCAATTAATTTACCAAAGACAATTTAAATATCCAAGGTGGCCGGATATTGGATAGTGATTCACTATTAACCAAGTGAGTTAATTCTTTTAATTGGTTCAAATTAAAGAATCGTTTTAATTCTTTGACACTGCACACGTTTTAGCGAAAGGCCAAAGAGCCAGGTCAACGGTTCGTTGTAGTAAATGATGGGAGTTTCTTGTTTTTTTAATGCTGTTACAATTAAATGGTTGCCACCTACGGATTTCCTTTTATGGGACTCTTTGGCTCAATTAAATTAAATCAACTTTACTGAAGTCTGATGATAACCGAGTTGCATATTATCTATGATGTTATTTTTTTCGGCTAATATTAGAAATGATCTCTGCTATACTACCTACAGTTTCTTTAAAATAATTGATTAATTGGTGAAGTCTGAGTCACCCACATACCAATTTACCAAAAACAAACCTTAAACTGCAAATAAATTTTGTGGTTTTCAGAAACAATTTCTTAGTAATTAGATTCTCATTACTATTCTTGGAAAAATAGTTTCGAATTAAATTTTAGAAATTTCATAATCAATTAACACTGCATTTTTTCGCAGCTATCCGGAATAGGTATTATCATAGCCGGTGCTCTTATCCTCACACAAATGGCGGATTTCAACAGGATAGCTGAAAGCGACTTAGTGAAAATGGCCATAGCTATGATTGTAGGAGGCGCTTTGGTGACCATTGTAGCTTTTGTTGGATGCTTGGGTGCCATGAGGGAGTCCTATAAAATGTTGATGGCGGTAAGTAACTTTCGCTCATACAATATTTTCTAGGATATAAATCATTAACTATGAATCATTGAACATTCAATAACAATTATAATTAAGTTTAAATTAAGCCATACAAAATATTACGTAAGTACCTACTGGTACTATTGACTAAGAAATACCATAAAGAGCATTAACTGAATTTAAATGTAAGAATGTTGATGTTGCAAATGGAATTGTGGCTACTACCTGTACCTTACGTATTGTAATAATTGTAGTAACGACCGTTTTCCTCTGATGCAGTTATTTTATTTTTCTTCCTCAAAGTAAAACTATGGAAAAAATATCAAAAATCTAGTAAAATCAAGAAATAACAGGAACAAACTTTATTAGTTGATAAAGAAACTGGTCCAAATTATTAACGGCAGCATAAGGTACAGTGTAAGTTTCATTTATCTTAACTAGAATTGCGGTAGAGTAAAAGCATTTGCTACACTTTATCGATACGACTGACTATTTAGATAAGATTTTTATTATTCCGCATAGCAAAACTACAAACCAGTGGCGTAGAAAGTGTCACAGGGTTCAAAATATCACATCAAAAATCTATTATATCTAGGTACTTACCTACCTGAAACTTTTGTGTATGTAATTTTTATGAAAATGGTAAAAATAATTTCAATTCCGTTTGGCATCATTTTCATATCTGTCTAACCGAGCTCAAGAAATATAAGGTTTCTAACCATAGCATAACATAGCTACTACAGCGACGCTAGGTACAGCTCATGGCAGTTTTATTGTGACAACTAGGGAAAATATTTAAATGGATGTTGTTATCTATTTGACCGGAACTGACTATCAACAACTGTTCTGTGAAAGCTAAATTAAATTATTTTCGCACCCTTTATTTACAACGGGTTTGCACTCTGTTTTGCAGGAGGTGAGAGAGAATAGGGTGATAGGTTCACGCTTTTAATATTTGGAACAGGGGTTTCTAAACCTAGAAATTAAACTTCAACGTCTTTGTTTAATACATAACTACATGTCTGAAAAATTTTTCCTCACCAATCATCATCATCATCATCATCATCATCATCATCATCATAGGCGATCACTCGATACCAAGTTTGATTTTCTCCTATTCTATTTATGATGTCGTCGATTGTACGTTTTCTGGTGACTATATTAACCAATTTTGGAGCCGCAAAACTCTGCCACAGTCTTGTCACACGTAGCCTCTGGTAGTATTGTCACTTCCTCTGTTGTCTTGCTCCTTTCTGCAATCCCTCTTTCTCGTGTCTGCTTCGCTGTTCTTCAAAAGTTTATGGTCCGTTGTGAACTATCATTTGGCTCCGTCTCCCAGTTGTTGGTTTCGTTGTGACACTTTGCCACATTTTCCTTTGCGAGGGTCACCTGACACCTGACAGCAGGTGACCCTCGACAAGGTGAAGTATAGATCCTATAAATAGGGAAAATAGAGTGGATGTAATAACACAGCCCTGTTTAACGCCTGTAGTATTTAAAAATATTCTCCTTGTTCATCGTTGCTCAGGATAGTTGCATTCATATTATCATGCAGCAGGCGGAGTATCTGGATGTAGGTACTTCTGCGAACACCTAACTTTTGCCAATATCTTCCAAAGAACTTCTCTGTTGGCTGAATCAAATGTTTTCAACAAATCTTTGAAGGCCATTTGTAGAGAGCGATTTTGTTCCATGGATTTCTCTTGCACTGAAAATCTTGTTATCTGTACCTCGGTTGGGTCTAAAGCCACACTGTGTATCTGAGAGGTTCTCTTCGGCAGTTGGGATTGGACGATTGGATATTATCCTGGCAAGTATTCTTCCCGCAACAGAAAGTAAAGATATTCTTCTGTTATTTCCACATTGAGCCTTGTCTCCCTTTTAAAAAATGGCAACTACGGAGGCATCTCTAAGTTCTGCAGGTATATAATAATATGGTCTCAGTAATACATAATTTACTTATTCCTCTTCTTCTTCCAATGCCTATCTACTAATGGATATTTGCGATAACATTTTCCATTGCTTTTCTATTCCTTGCGGTGTGAATTAACGACTACACATCATGTAGCTCTGTCCACTGTCTGATATTTCGCAGCCAAGACATTTTCTTTCTTCCTATCCCTCTCCGGCCTTCGATCTTGCCTTCGATCAACAGGTGCAAGAATTGGTATTTCGTGTTTCGCATTATATGTCCCAGATATGCCGTTTTTCTCTTTTTATTCAATTCAAACAGTTCGCGTTGTTTGTTGATACGTCTTAGGACTTCTTCGTTTGTTAGTCTAGCTGTCCAAGGTTTCTTAAGGATTCTACGATACAGCTACATCTCGAAAGTCTCTAATTTGTTAATTGCAGTATCCTTTAATTTCCAACCTTCCATGCCGTAAAGAAGCTCTGACCAAACGTAGTATTTAATGAATCTGAGTCTCAGGTTAAGGTCAAAATCAGAACAGGTAAGCACTCTTCGAAACCTCAAGAATGCCTTTCGAGCTTCTTCAATGCGACATTTTATTTCCTTGTCTGATGTCCAGTCTTTGAAAAGCCAGACGCTCAAGTACTTAAATTTATCTACTCTCTATATGGGCCTTGCGTTAAATGTTATGGTGGAGTTTTCAAACATATTTGGGTTCCTAGACATAATCATAAACTTTGTTTTTTTGGTGTTGATATTCAAGCCCATTGATTTGCTCTGTTTTCCTACCTTGTTAACTAGTTGTTATAGGTCGTGTATGTTATCAGCAGTCAAGACCGTATCGTCAGCATAGCGGATATTGTTAATCCACACTCCATTAACTTTAACTCCCATTTCCACGTCTTCCAAAAGCTCCTGGAAAATCGCTTCCGAATATAAGTTGAACAGGAGCGGAAACAGCACACATCCCTGTCGCACCCCTCTTCTAATCTGTAAAGTGTTGGACATATTATAGCATAATTTGATTTGCGCTGTTTGGTTCCAGTATAGGTTTTCAATGCATCTGATGTCTTTCTGGTCTATGTCAAGCTTATTGAGGAGCTGCATTAATTTGTTTGTGGTGTTGTACGCGATCGAATGCCTTTTTGTAATCTATGAAACATAGGCACACATCCTTTCGCTGATCCAACATAAACACGGCCTAAGGCCGTGTTTATGTTGGAGCTATGATAAACGATAAAAGCAACGATACTAATGATACTTTACATTAGTATCGTTGCTTTTATCGTTTATTGCAGCTCCAACATAATTGCACCCTTAGGCAGAGGTATAAAAGTAGAGCACAACCACTGTTCGGGATAGTGACCTGTCTCATAAGTAGAGTTAAATAATTTATGTAGTGGTGTTATGCCTCTTTCATCTAGGAGCTTAAGTATTTCTGAAGGGATTTCATTTGGGCCAGCCGCTTTGTTATTTTTTGAAATACGTATGGCACTTTCAATCTCGTCCTTAGTGATCGATGGGCCGGTTAGAGATTTATTGATACCAGCTGCGGGTCTCTCATCGTCAAAGAGTTCTTCAATATACCTTTGCCAAACATTGTTCTTCTCTTTGCTGTCGAAGAATATCTGATTGTTATTATTTACTGTTATAGTAGGACTCATTTTTTTATATATGCCGGCAGTCTGCTTCAGTTTTTTGTGCAGGTCAAAGACATCATGTTGATTTTGCAGCTGCTCTATCTCTGAGCATCCACGTTGAAGCCATTCCTTCTTTGCTATTCTAATCTTTGATCTTATGAGTCTTTGAATATCCTTGTACATGTTGCTGTCTGTTTTGTTCTTGTGCTTTCGACGTTCATCCATTAACAACAAAATCTCATCCGTCATCCATTTTTGTTTTTTGTTCTTTGCCTTATATACTAATCTGTTTTGCATTGAGTTTGTTGCAATGTCCATAATCTTTGTCCAGGCTTGTGTTGGCTCTTCTCCAATATTCGATGTTATTGTTTGTATTTGTGTGTTTATCTCATTACACATCTCAGATTTAATTATTGGGTCCCTCAATTTTTCCAACGCCACCCGTCGCTGTGTGGTTGGCTTTCTTGGACTTGACTGAGAAATTTCCAAGACGGCCACCAATAGTACATGGTCACAAGGCACATCTGCCCCACGATATGTGACGGCTCTCTTGATGGTTAAGCTGAATCTTTGGTTGATCAGGATGAAATCTATTTGGTTTCGCACTACATTGTGTCGACGGTCCGCTGGGGACTTTCAGGTATAGAGTCGGCGATGGTGAAGTTGATACCATGTATTTGTCACTTTCATGCTTTCCTCCTGGCAGAATTGTAAAAGTCCATCACCCCTCTCGTTCCTTTCTCCAAGTACATACGATCCAACTAACTCCTCAAATTCACCCTTTCCTGTTTTGACATTGAAGTCACCCATAATTATGTTGACGTCATATTTTTTAGTCAATTTTAGCAATTCCTTGACTGTGGGTTTGGGCACTTAGTGTTGGGCCTCCTTGTTTAAAGAATTAAGCAGGAATGCCGTCAGTACCAGCTGACCTATTGTTTTTTAGTTGTCTGATTCTAGGATCCTCGCTCAGTTGTTGGATTCTGTGGAATTTCGTTGAAGATGTCATCAATAACTCGGATTCTTTGTTGAGTAGTTCCTAAAAGTGTTCCTTCCAATGAGAATTAATGGAGGAACTGTCGTCGAGCAGTCTTTTGCCATCTTTGGATCGTAGAAGAAGGCCTTGGTGCTGTTGGATTCAGCTAGTTGCTTCATTTCGTTTGAGTTTTTGTCTTAGAGAGGCTTGGAAAATTGTCCTGATATGATCGTCTTCAAGGCGTTCCATGTTAAATTTGCGTTTGAACTGCTTTTTTTGACATCAACGATTCGGTGGGATGCGCAAGTTCATTCTGGCTCGTATCAGCCGATGTTCAGTCCAGCAGTATTCTGCACTTGTTAAGCCAAAACGACGTGGCAGACCGAGAAGAAGCTGGGGAGCGATCATTTTATTGATAAATATAAATAATTATTGAGTAAAAAACTCTTGCTCCATAAATTGTTTTCCAAAAAATGGTTCAAAT